AAGTGGCTTTGTTTTTCTAGACTCGCACTCAACTGAGATGTGCTTTCAGGAATTCAGCTTCCTTGCTTCCATAGTTCAAAAACTGTCACTGGAGAGACATTCATAGGAGAAACGGACTTGGAATAAGTTTGAGAGAGACCTGTTTGTGATCCTCAGTTCCGGTGTCCACAACTCCCACTGTTTAACCATTGTAATCCGAACTCCATTATGCTCACTTGGCTCCCAAACAGCATACTCATCCTTCCACGTCTACAAATTTACACACACTCAGTCCTTTCTTTTTCTTGCACTTGTACTTTTCATCGCATGCCCAAGGCAAACAACGCTTGGGCACAGTAGATTCTTCAGCAGCATGACGGGGAATTTCATGTCGCAGGAACGAAAACAAGTCGACAAAAGGCAAACCATATAAATATGTCCATTAAGGGTAATCGTTTGTTCGAATTGATTCACCGAAATATGCATAATGTATACGTGGACGGCAACATCCAGTGGTTCGGATGTGTTCAGTTTGGGACGAACTCGTTTGTTGTACTTACGCAGTATGGTACGCTGTAACTCGGTCTGCTCCTCCACATATGTGCGATTAGCTATTTCTGAATTCACCCATTTTGTCTCTTATGATTTCTTTTGCCCCACTAACACACTGTTTATCGCAATTATGCATAGCTTTTTTTATGAATTTCAATTGTGTCTGTTTTGATCTCGTATTTTTTGTCAAATGAAGGATTTTTTCGATTTTGTTACGCAGCACAGTTCTAAGCTATCGATTATAAAGCAAAATGTTTCGTGGTAATGCGCTGCGCAAAAATCTTGGCTGCTTTTACCTTACTAGCCAGCAAAAAATCAAATGCCATAAGCATTTATCGGTAATATTTATAAAAAGCGGAGCTATAACTAACGTGTATGAAAACTAAAGGGCATACCTTGGGCGGCTTCATTCTCGAGATCCTGAGTGCTAATCTGAGCCAAGGTGGACTGATCTTGGAATGGGTAGACGAGGACTAGCAGTGGCAGTATTGCAGCGATCATCATAAAGCAGCTGTTAGGACGCGCGTGTCTGGATTGGGTGATCGGCGCAAGCAAGCGAACAAAACGCTGTTTTATATCGGTATGTGGCAGTCATGTATCAACAATCCATGGGTTTTGTATCGCTAGTTTGCGCTGAGCACCACTGTCCTCGAATTTTGTATATTGGTGATATGGGCAGAGCGAGTGAGTCGAGAGACTTCGGCGCGCACTACGTCACTTCCCGGCTGTGCGGTTGTAATTTGATAGCCGGAGCATCCAGTGCCGATGATGATAACGAGATGGTCGTGCTTAGTGAGGCAACTTCCCAAGTAAACTGTGACGCAGTACATTTCCGAGAACAGAGGTCAGTTATGCATTCTCCAGCAGTTTCCAGATCTCGAGTGCATGAATTCTATTTTGCTGTGGCGCAACCAGAAACAGCGCACATCGCTTACCATCAGATATTTACTCAACTGATGCAGCTGGTGGATGCTGATGGCTGCCATCAGGGAATGCGGGAATAAGCAGTTCAGTACGCAAGCATATAACAAGCACCATCCATTCTAGCAAACAGAACAGAAGGGAGCTAGAAGAACGAGCTCAAAAAGGAGCGGGATAAGGAAAGTAAGTACAAGACATACGAGGCCAAGGTAATTCAACCGTCATGCTCATTTTCTTCAAAAGCTGTTCTTGCTTCTCGGATGCTTGCTTCCTTCTTATTTTCCTTAACTTCTTACGGTTCGCTGCTCCAGAAAAGCCCCGACATACTTATTTGCACTAAAACATTTCTTAGGCCGTTTTTGCTGGCTCCATTCCCAGTTTCCATTCCGAGTGCTCATTTCAATTTACTCCCGCTGATGTCAGATATTACTAACTGGCATCAGAATATGCCTTTTTATGCAAAAACATTCCAAGTTTTTCAGTACCTGCTATCGATCAGGATATAAAACTTCCTTTTTTTCCTGGGAGTGAACGCGGATTGAAAGGGAAGATGAAAGTCACCAAGAAACAAAATACAAGTAACACTTGGTGATTACTTAGACACAAACGCTAATGGCATGTTACTTGTGTTTTGATTTTTTGGTGAGTCGGGCAGACAGACTGGTGAAGTGGTTGCAAAATTCAGAGTTTCTAACTGCATTTGCTGTTGTTGCAAATATCTGAAAGGATTTCCGCAATATAGATATACTAAGTTGGAAAGCATTTTACCGTAGGTTTTCTTTGCCAATCTGCACTTTAGAAAGGAGAGCTTATCACCTCCTGACTTTGCATAAACTGGTGCAGTTAGTCTTAGCTAAGCATCCTTGAAAATATATTCCTGGTCTTTACATACGCAGTTTAAAGCGATTTGTTTTGTTGAAATATCTTTAATTAAATTATTTTGAAAACAGTGTTTAGAAGGCAACACAACGCACATCAGAGATGTATTATCTTCATACACAGCTCAAAGTGCTATAGAATCTTTTGTCGGAAAGTTCAAAAGAAAACACGCAACCAGCTCATCGTGTTTCTCGCCAAGGAATTCCTGAAAAGCGTTACATTCCGCTCATTGTCCAACAAACGTTTGATAATTGAAATAAAATTTTTTTGCAGAATAAGCCGATTTATCGTATCCACTGACGTGCTAGCAACTGGAGCTGCCTTTACTGCTGAGGGCTAAAGGTTCGGCTTTGTCAGTGAGACAACTAATCTCTCTTCACAAACGAATTGCGGATGGATTTTGAATTTTGTTTCTTGATTGTATCCAGCACTGCCTGGGCGATAAGCTCTCACAGAATGCCTACACAATGAGCTTTCAACAAAGGAAAAGCTTCAGATTCTCATCCCTTAACCCAAATTGCTCACTCGAACAAAATGATGCTTTTTATGCGTTTTTGCATAATACGCAAAAACACATATTGTGACGACCCCGGTGTGTGTGTGTGTGTGTCCGGATATTTCAACTCGGCAGCAGAGCTAGCTCCGGCGCCAAAATTTTGCGAGTGGGTTCCCGGCCAAGTGCCACCCCAGGACCGCGCTATCAACCCCCAAGCACGTCTAGGCCCCGCGTGCGAGCGCCCCAAATTTTTGGCGGGAAAATCGTTAACTCGAGAACCAGAAAAGCTAGAAAGCTGAAATTTTGGAATTATGTTTCCAGTCCAAGTAGAAC